GATAAATAAGCAAGTGACTGGATAATTCGATTCGTCTTAACGAAGAGTCTTCTATTATACACATATATATTTATTATACATGGAAAACAGGAAAACGAATTTTCGATGGTAATGACGGTATATGTATTAAGACATATAAAGAAGGTGTTCAGGTAAAATTGAGTTAAATTGGTTTGAAATTATTGACTGTTGCAAATATTTAACTATTAAAACAATCGTTGTAAATATTTAACTATTAAAACAAAATGGAAATATACCTATTTTCTATATTCATACTTTCCATTGGGAAAACACTTTTAATGCATACCTTGAAACAAGGGAATTTAAAAATAATACATTTTAAAATAATTTCTTGTAAAATAGATAATCAAATTTTTTAAAATTCGTTAAATAAAAACTTACAATTAAATTAATCGGACAAACGATTACGCCCAATGGCCAACAGGAATATACGATGAACATGAATATGAATTTTCCCATATATGATTCTATACACTATCTGTTAGAATAACACAATTCATCTAAATAACAATCCTTCTAAGCATATATTAACAGACGAAATACAATTGTAACAATGATGACTGAGTACAACGATTAAACATTATATATATATATATATATATATATATATATATATATATATATATATATATGTATATATATATATATATATATATATATATATATATATATATATATATATATATATATATATATATATATATATATATATATATATTTATATAGATAGATAGATAGATATATATATATATATATAGATAGATAGATAGATAGATAGATAGATAGATAGATAGATAGACATATATGAGATGTCTCAGATTGACTGCATGCTGGTGTTAAAAAATAAAGGTATATATAATATAAAAGAGCTATGACAAATATATTATTAAATATACATATTATTCCTCCCCGGTAGCACGACTCTGAATTTCGATCACAACGCGATATTCAGCGGCAGATTAGAGAGTAAACTTTATATAATTTAAATTTAATAAAAGTAATTACTTAACGGAATGCTAGCGAGGTCTATATATTTGATTATAATTACTGTTCACACACACACACACGCACACAGATATATGAGATAGAGAGCATTTATATTTTTTTATTTAAAATAAACAATGATTTATATTTTTATTTTATCTTTGAATAAACGGGGATAAATGTAATTTTCCTACAGAGTATTTATTAAAATAAGCAAATCTATCTATCTATCTATCTATCTATCTATCTATCTATCTATCTATCTATCTATCTCTCTATATATATATATATATATATATATATATATATATATATATATATATATATATATATATATATAAATATTATTTTAAATGAACAAAAAAAATGTTAAGCTCACTGATATATTTAAATATATTGGTATCTTGAGGAGGGTCCTTTGCGTGATTCACCAATTCATGCTACCTATCATATTATATATATATATATATATATATATATATATATATATATATATATATATATATATATATATATATATATATATATATATATATATATATATATATATATAGATGTATGTATGTATATATATATATGTATATATATATAGATGTATGTATGTATATATATATATGTATATATATATATATATATGTATGTATATATATATATATATATATATATATATATATATATATATATATATATATATATATATATATATATATATATATATATGTATATATATATATATATATATATATATATATATATATATATATATATATATATATATATATATATATATATATATATATATATGCATATTTTTGTGAAAGCGAAAAACGCAACCCTGTGACATTGGAAAATCATTACCATGATTAGATAATATTACTAATGAATAATATATTACTGAATTTTTGATAATATTTTACTTATATGGCTTGAATTGTCATCAGTTGTAGCGTCCATAAAACAAATTGGAATATTTGCACAATAATTAAGCATAATACCAAATGAAAAAATGGTCTATTCTTTGTTGTCACAAATTGATGTCGGAATAAGTCCTCTTCTTGCTGATTTCGTTGTACGTCTGTGGTTGATGAACGTCAGATTTCTGCTGAAAAAACGAGATCAGCAATTTTACGGTTTTAAGAAATTCTGCTGTTGATTTCCGATTGAAGTTTTTAAGATTTGCTGACAATCTGGCTAATTACACTTGACGCTTGGGAAAAAATCACTGTACTTAAATTCATTGTTGTACCTGTCATCACCATCCAGAATTTTCCATTTTATTTGAAAAATATCGGAATTGGCGGCATCATTCAAGAACACAACCTGGGCTTCATGGATCGGTTTGGAAATGCGCTCGACATAAACATTTGACTCTTCAATGTACTAGTCTTAAGGGCTATCTTGGTGTCGCCTCTCCCGGCACGTAATTTCATAATAGCTGCTGAATTATCTAAATATTCTTTTTACATCTTTCTATCCCCTAGTCTTCATTGACTACTGGAGTGTGGGACATAGACTTTTGCTTTACGATTTAAGGATTGGTTTTTAGACAGAGATCATTGAAACAATCTTGACATTAAGATTTATATCAGCAGCTGTCGTATCCATAGATGTAACAGGGATCTTCGTAAGAATGTCTTTTGTGGTCGCTATAGTATTCTTCGTACCTAATCTTGTTTAAATGACTTTCTCGAGATGTTCGTAACATGATTTTATTTATGTATCGTTATTGTAAGCCCTGTGCAATTACAGACCAACTATTTAAGTAATAATATGAAGGTCGATATTTTCACGTGTAATTATCAGGTTTTAAGCCGTTTTCTCCAGTTTTTCGGAAAATATGTCGCTAGAGTTTTATAGTTAAACATTATCTGATTTCGAGTTTGGACACATGTTACCAATTCAAATTATAAGTTGGGCTTTTCAGTCATTGCCGCACACTTATATGCCAACACTCACATACGCGTAGACACACTGGAGCTCAGCACACATACATTTTTTTCGTATGTAATTTTGTGATTTTCATGTTTTTCTGGTGTTTTATCTGGGTTGTAAAATCCAGGAAGAGTGGGACAACAAGCTCTGGTCGTATGAAAACATATATTGTAAATAGATAATGAATATATTGATAATAGACGCTGAATATATTATATCTAGTCTCGTGCCGTTGTAAACTTCGTATGGTTGCCTTAATTTCGGGTGGAAATAAGACAATTAGTGTCCAAAATTTGGATATGTTTTTATTGAGCTGGTCCTTGATCTAATCTTTCGGCTGACATGAACCATCTTCAGAGGTGATATACGGAAATTTGAACAAAGACATTCATCATCAAATATGATATTCTGTTATGCTGACATGATGACGGCAGCGGAAGCTGACGCAGGTCGTAAATTCGTGATGCGGTTCTATGACGTGATACCACGTTTGAGAGCGAATTATTAGCAACAGAAGCATATGCCCAGATTCAATGAAATGTTTTGTGACGAGTTTGAAATGTAGATTTGTTGTAATCTAAAACTAGTAACAACAAATTAATTCAATTCAAAATCTTCACGAATTGGATACTACAGACGGTTACATTTTAAGATTTTTATAATATCACATATAAACTAGAGCACCTATTTCCAAAGCTTGATATTGCTATGCTTCCAAAAATAGGGAATATTCCAAAAATATATATATTGTGCGATTAATAAATTGTCGCAATTTATATTTTAATTTCGTACATGCGCGTTGTTTGTGGTTCATTTGTCGACTGCGTTGTATAGAAGTGTTAGTTGGGCACTGCCCGTGAGAAAAAGAAAAATAGGACGCAATTCATTCTGATAGAGATTTGGAAGTACTGCTTGTCATTCGTGCCGGAAGCGTCAATATGAATATTTTAGTGTTTTAGTTTGTCAATCTGACGGCAGTACTGAGAATTCGGAAAGAGGTGGATGAATCTGATGGTGATTACGAAGACTCAACATGGATGTCAACATCAGTTACCCTGAAGAGGCAGTGCTACGCTGGGTCAAGAGAATGACCGCTGCAAACATGAAATGCAAGCAGGAGAACCCAGTCATAGCTGTCAGGCAGATTCTGCGACCACATCACACATAACATCTGGTTACCTAACTCCACAACCTGCAACCACTTTTATTAGTATATGTGGGACGCAGGGGAACGAAAGTACAACAAAATTCCTTGTATGATGAACTGAAGACAAAGATTATGGCAGCATTCAGAAACGTAAAAAAAAGAAATGTGTCATAGAGAGAGAGAGAGAGAGAGCCCACCTCCCACCGCGAGGTGGATTTAGTAATCAACGGTGCTAAAGAATTAGGATGAAGGTGCTAATTATTTGGGTAGAAAGGATTCCGGAGTAATTCCAGAAATAAGTTGTTTTTTTTTTCTCTTGTTTTTTTTCTCTTAATAATTCTTTCTGGGGTTGAGTTATTAGTTAATTAATTGTAATAATTCCAGAGTGATTATAGACGGATTCGTTAAAGTAAAGTTTGTGATAAATTGCGAATTGGACATTTGGGTGGTCTGAATAGCAGAATTCAACCAGACAGGATAAGTGGTTTTGGCATAACTTAAGCGGACGTTGTCTGCGGAGGACCCAACTTGATGTCCGAATCCGATTTTTTTATCTCTTGAAAACTGGGTTCCCGCTGTGTTTCGGGGACCGGAAAAGATTGCATGGTTGTCAAAGGCGATTTGCATATAAAAATTCGAGGGCGGTGCCTAAAGATAGTTTAGCTCCGCCTCTCTCCTTATAAGCTACCCGCACGTTTGATTTAGTCAGATCGAAACGCGGCAGAACGCCGAAGAGACGGCTTGTTGTAATTTGCTGGTCTGGTCTGTTGGTTCTCCTGCATCAAGAATACCGATCCGAACCAAGAGATAGAAATAGAATCCGTACGAATCCAGATAACTTCGTCAACAACGCTTTGAGAAAGCAGACTGCTAAATCGAAAGATGCAGACAAAGATACCCGAATTACTGCCCTTAGATCAGCAGAAATTGTTTAGGCAGAAATTTTCAAACTCTCTCTCTCTCTCTCTCTCTCTCTCTCTGTCACTTCCGACCCCAAACGGGGTGAACTTCGTTAAGACATTTTGTACACGTGTAAATTCATCGGTAGTGACATAAAAACAGTTAGGATCAAAAATTCACAACGTGGCGGATAGTGGTGGTTCCTTCAGTTCACCGGGGGAGGACAGGGTGGTTTACTTTTCGGCCAGAACCACCGGAGAGACAGGTCAGAGCTGCAACAGGCAGGGTTTATTACGTTAGAGGAGACTGTCCAGAAGAAATGCCGGAGATTCAAATTTTTCTGGGTGTTGTAGCTGAAGTGACTGACGATTTTATTGAATAAATTGTTTCTTTAGCATTTCATTTTTTTTTCAAATTTTGGTAAATACATCTGTTAAAATTTGATTCTATTGTTATTCTTATTTTTGTTTTATTTAGACGACAATTTATCCACCGCAAACTGACAATGATATAAATTATTAAACATCGGTACAGTTTGAAAAAGAAATGGCACCACCGAATATCTGTACGATATGGTGCGTTACCTATTTTATTTAAAAAAACTTAAAAGAAATCATTATAATCTCACCCTATTGCGATACTAATTATAACGACGATCACTGGTGGATTTGTATTTGATAATACATATAAGCTTATATATATATATTTGACTAACAATGGATGATGCTACAGACTTACAAGATATTCATTTTCCTTACATTGTTGAAATGTTAGAAATGATTCTAGAACCCAGGCTACTTAAAATTTCAGTAGTGTATCTGTATCAATTTACAATGTATCAGCTTGAATTAAGTGAGTTGATCTTGGCGCCATTAATGTTAGTAGAGCGATTTTAGATGGAGTCGAAATATGTGACTTAAATCTTTCTGCAATCTAAATAAATTTAAAGAGAGAAAAACTTTCTAATGAGATTTATCTCATGATGATCGCCTCATTGATCTAACAGGTCACAATAACAGAATTGCCTAAAAATGGTTTTAAAACAAAATTAAGAAACATTTAACAAAGTTGGTCGAGCTAAATATCACATTTGATCTTAATAAAAATATATGCCTAAAGAAAAGTATCGCCCCTGTATATTGAGAGACATCGTCGAACAATCCACTGGTTAATTTTAAGCGACTGTCACAAGTTACTTATATGTTAATTTTGATATATTTTCATCAATATGCACAGCGTAATATGTACTTCGGAATCTAAGCAAACAGCAAATTACAGGAAAAATGCCTTAGGTGCAAAAATGAATATTGCATTGGTTGAATAGTTTATTTTGTTTTGCAGTGTATCAGTCTATATCTTTATAATACTAAAATTCTGTTAACATTTTTTGCTTGCTTGTATTTTTGCCATAGTGCACCCGAGGTGCTATATACAGAGAGTAGGTGAAAGAAAGATGTACATTTATAATCGTGTAGGACGGGGGAAGAGAAAGAAATTGTGTGCATACATGAATTAACAAGGAGACCAAAAGAAGGAAAAACGATCTCTCTTTCCACATCTCTCTCTCTTTCCACCGCACTCTCTCTTTCCACCTTTCCTTCTTTCCACCTCTCAGTCTTTCCACCTCTTTCTCTCTTTCCACCTTTCCTTCTTTCCACCTCTCAGTCTTTCCCTCTTTCTCTCTCTCTTTCCTTCTTTCCCTCTCTCAGTCTTTCCACCTCTCTCTCTCTCTTTCCACTTTAACTTCTTTCCACCTATCAGACTTTCCACCTCTCTCTCTCTATTTCCAACTTTCCTTCTTTCCCCCTCTCAGTCTTTCCACCTCTGTCTCTCTCTCTTTCCACCTGTCCTTCTTTCCACCTCTCTCTCTCTCTCTATCTTTCCATCTTTCCTTCTTTCCACCTCTCTCTCTATATCTTTCCACCTTTCCTTCTTTTCCACCTCTCAGTCTTTCCCACCTCTATCTCTCTTTCCACCTGTCCTTCTTTCCACCTCTCTCTCTCTATCTTTCCCCCTTTCCTTCTTTCCCCTCTCTCTCTCTCTCTCTTTCCACCTTTCCTTCTTTCCACCTCTCAGTCTTTCCACCTCTTTCAGTCTTTTTACACCTTTCCTTCTTTCCACCTCTCAGTCTTTCCACCTCTCTCTCTCTCTTTCCACCTTTCCTTCTTTCCACCACTCAGTCATTCCACCTCTCTCTCTCTTTTCCACCTTTCCTTCTTTTCACCTCTCAGTCTTTCCACCTCTCTCTCTCTACCACCTTTCCTTTTTCCACCTCTCAGTCTTTCAACTTCTCTCTTTCCACCTTTCCTTCTTTCCAGCTCTCAGACTTTCCACCTCTCTCTCTCTCTTTCCACTTTAACTTCTTTCCACCTATCAGACTTTCCACCTCTCTCTCTCTCTTTCCACCTGTCCTTCTTTCCCCCTCTCTCTCTCTCTCTCTATCTTTCCATCTTTCCTTCTTTCCACCTCTCTCTATATATCTTTCCACCTTTCCTTCTTTCCACCTCTCAGTCTTTCCACCTCACTCGCTCTTTCCACCTTTCCTTCTTTTCACCTCACAGTCTTTCCACCTCTTTCAGTCTTTCCACCTTTACTTCTTTCCACCTCTCAGTCTTTCCACCTCTCTCTATCTCTTTCTACCTTTCCTTCTTTCCACCTCTCAGTCTTTCCACCTCTCTCTCTCTTTCCACCTTTCCTTCTTTCCACTACTCAGTCTTTCCACCTCTCTCTCCACCTTTCCTTCTTTCCACCTCTCAGTCTTTCCAACTCTCTCTCTATCACTTTTCCTTCTTTCCACCTCTCAGTCTTTCCACCTCTTTCTCTCTTTCCACCTTTCCTTCTTTCCACCTCTCAGTCTTTCCCTCTCTCTCTACCTCTCTTTCCTTCTTTCCACCTCTCAGTCTTTCCACCTCTTTCAGTCTTTACACCTTTCCTTCTTTCCCTTTCTTTCCACCTTTCCTCTCTTTTTCCACCTTTCCTTCTTTCCACCACTCAGTCATTCCACCTCTCTCTCTCTTTTCCACCTTTCCTTCTTTTCACCTCTCAGTCTTTTCCACCTCTCTTCTCCTTCTTTCCACCTCTCAGTCTTTCCTTCTCTTCTTTTCCACCTTTCCTCTCTCAGTCTTTCCACCTCTCTCTCTCTCTTTCCACTTTAACTTCTTTCCACCTATCAGACTTTCCACCTCTCTCTCTCTTTTCCACCTGTCGTTCTTTCCCCCTCTCTCTCTTTCTCTATCTTTCCATCTTTCTTCTTTCCCACCTCTCTCTTTTTCCACCTTTCCTTCTTTCCACCTCTCAGTCTTTCCACCTCACTCTCTTTCCACCTTTCCTTCTTTTCACCTCACAGTCTTTCCACCTCTTTCAGTCTTTCCTTTTACTTCTTTCCACCTCTCAGTCTTTCCCACCTCTCTCTATCTCTTTCTACCTTTCCTTCTTTTCCTCTCAGTCTTTCCACCTCTCTCTCTTTTCCACCTTTCCTTCTTTCCACTACTCAGTCTCTCCACCTCTCTCTCCACCATTCCTTCTTTCCACCTCTCAGTCTTTCCAACTCTCTCTCTCAGTCACTTTTCCTTCTTTCCACCTCTCAGTCTTTCCACCTCTTTCTCTTTCCACCTTTCCTTCTTTCCACCTCTCAGTCTTTCCCTCTCTCTCTCTCTTTTTTCCTTCTTTCCACCTCTCAGTCTTTCCAATTCTCTCTCTCTCTTTCCACCTTTCCTTCTTTCCACCTCTCAGTCTTTCCACCTCTTTCTCTCTTTCCACCTTTCCTTCTTTCCACCTCTCAGTCTTTCCCTCTTTCTCTCTCTCTTTCCTTCTTTTCCTCTCTCAGTCTTTCCACCTTCTTCTCCACCTTCTTTCCACCTATCAGACTTTCCACCTCTCTCTCTCTTCCAACTTTCCTTCTTTCCCCCTCTCAGTCTTTCCACCTCTCTCTCTCACTTCCTTCTTTCCACCTCTCTCTCTCTCTCTTCTTTCCATCTTTCCTTCTTTCCACCTTTCTCTTATCTTTCCACCTCTCCTTCTTTCTCCTCTCAGTCTTTCCACCTCTATCTCTCTTTCCACCTGTCCTTCTTTCCACCTCTCTCTCTATCTTTCCCCCTTTCCTTTTCCACCACCTCTCTCTCTCTTCTTTCCTTCCCACCTCTTAGTCTTTTCCACCTCTTTCAGTTTTTTACACCTTTCTTTCTTTCCACCTCTCAGTCTTTCCACTATCTCTCTCTTTCCTTTCCTTTTTCCACCACTCAGTCTTCTCTCTCTCTTCCACCTTTCCCTCTTTTCACCTCTCAGTCTTTCCACCTCTCTCTCTCTACCACCTTTCCTTCTTTCCACCTCTCAGTCTTTCAACTTCTCTCTCTTTCCACCTTTCCTTCTTTCCACCTCTCAGACTTTCCACCTCTCTCTCTCTCTTTCCACTTTAACTTCTTTCCACCTTCAGACTTTCCACTCTCTCTCTCATTTTCCTTCTTTCCACCTCTCTCTCTCTCTCTATTTCCATCTTTCCTTTTTCCACCTTCTCTTATATCTTTCCACCTTTCCTTCTTTTTCCACCTCAGTCTTTCCACCTCTCTCTTCCCACCTGTCCTTCTTTCCACCTCTCTCTCTATCTTTCCACTTTTCCTTCTTTTTTTCCACCTCTCTCTCTCTCTTTCCACCTTTCCTTCTTTCCACCTCTTAGTCTTTCCACCTCTTTCAGTCTTTACACCTTTCCTTCTTTCCACCTCTCTCTCTCTCTCTCTTTCCACCTTTCCCTCTTTCCACCTCTCAGTCTTTACACCTCTCTCTCTCTTTCCACCTTTCCTTCTTTCCACCTCTCAGGCTTTCCACCACTCTCTCTCTCTGTCTCTTTCCACCTTTCCTTCTTTCCACCTCTCAGTCTTTCCCTCTCTCTCTCTCTTTCCTTCTTTCCACCTCTCAGTCTTTCCACTTCTCTCTCTCTCTTTCCACCTTTCCTTCTTTCCACCTCTCAGTCTTTCCCTCTCTCTCTCTCTTTCCTTCTTTCCACCTCCCAGTCTTTCCACTTCTCTCTCTCTCTCTTTCCACCTTTCCTTCTTTCCACCTCTCAGTCTTTCCCTCTCTCTCTCTCTCTCTTTCCACCTCTCAGTCTTTCCACTTCTCTCTCTCTCTTTCCACCTTTCCTTCTTTCCACCTCTCAGTCTTTCCACCTCTCTCTCTCTCTTTCCACTTTAACTTCTTTCCACCTATCAGACTTTCCACCTCTCTCTCTCTCTTTCCACCTTTCCTTCTTTCCCCCTCTCAGTCTTTCCACCTCTGTCTCTCTCTCTTTCCACCTGTCCTTCTTTCTACCTCTCTCTCTCTCTATCTTTCCATCTTTCCTTCTTTCCACCTCTCTCTCTATATCTTTCCACCTTTCCTTCTTTCCACCTCTCAGTCTTTCCACCTCTATCTCTCTTTCCACCTGTCCTTCTTTCCACCTCTCTCTCTCTATCTTTCCACCTTTCCTTCTTTCCACCTCTCTCTCTCTCTTTCCACATTTCCTTCTTTCCACCTCTCAGTCTTTCCACCTCTTTCAGTCTTTACACCTTTCCTTCTTTCCACCTCTCAGTCTTTCCACCTCTCTCTCTCTCTCTCTTTCCACCTTTCCTTCTTTCCACCACTCAGTCATTCCACCTCTCTCTCTCTATATCCACCTTTCCTTCTTTTCACCTCTCAGTCTTTCCACCTCTCTCTCACTCTCTCTCTTTCCACCTTTCCTTCTTTCCACCTCTCAGTCTTTACACCTCTCTCTCTCTCTCTCTTTCCACCTTTCCTTCTTTCCACCTCTCAGGCTTTCCACCACTCTCTCTCTCTCTCTTTCCACCTTTCCTTCTTTCCACCTCTCAGTCTTTCCCTCTTTCTCTCTCTTTCCTTCTTTCCACCTCTCAGTCTTTCCACTTCTCTCTCTCTCTCTTTCCACCTTTCCTTCTTTCCACCTCTCAGTCTTTCCCTCTCTCTCTCTCTCACTTTCCTTTTTCCACCTCTCAGTCTTTCCACTTCTCTCTCTCTCTCTTTCCACCTTTCCTTCTTTCCACCTCTCAGTCTTTCCACCTCTCTCTCTCTCTCTTTCCACTTTAACTTCTTTCCACCTATCAGACTTTCCACCTTTCGCTCTCTCTTTCCACCTTTCCTTCTTTCCACCTCTCAGTCTTTCCACCTCTCTCTCTCTCTTTCCACTTTAACTTCTTTCCTCCTATCAGACTTTCCACCGCTCTCTCTCTCTCTCTTTCCACCTTTCCTTCTTTCCCCCTCTCAGTCTTTCCACCTCTGTCTCTCTCTCTTTCCACCTGTCCTTCTTTACACCTCTCTCTCTCTCTCTATCTTTCCATCTTTCCTTCTTTCCACCTCTCTCTCTATATCTTTCCACCTTTCCTTCTTTCCACCTCTCAGTCTTTCCACCTCTATCTCTCTTTCCACCTGTCCTTCTTTCCACCTCTCTCTCTCTATCTTTCCCCCTTTCCTTCTTTCCACCTCTCTCTCTCTCTTTCCACCTTTCCTTCTTTCCACCTCTCAGTCTTTCCACCTCTTTCAGTCTTTACACCTTTCTTTCTTTCCACCTCTCAGTCTTTCCACCTCTCTCTCTCTCTTTCCACCTTTCCTTCTTTCCACCACTCAGTCATTCCACCTCTCTCTCTCTATTTCCACCTTTCCCTCTTTTCACCTCTCAGTCTTTCCACCTCTCTCTCTCTACCACCTTTCCTTCTTTCCACCTCTCAGTCTTTCAACTTCTCTCTCTTTCCACCTTTCCTTCTTTCCACCTCTCAGACTTTCCACCTCTCTCTCTCTCTTTCCACTTTAACTTCTTTCCACCTATCAGACTTTCCACCTCTCTCTCTCTCTTTCCACCTTTCCTTCTTTCCACCTCTCTCTCTCTCTCTCTATCTTTCCATCTTTCCTTCTTTCCACCTCTCTCTCTATATCTTTCCACCTTTCCTTCTTTCCACCTCTCAGTCTTTCCACCTATATCTCTCTTTCCACCTGTCCTTCTTTCCACCTCTCTCTCTCTATCTTTCCACTTTTCCTTCTTTCCACCTCTCTCTCTCTCTTTCCACCTTTCCTTCTTTCCACCTCTTAGTCTTTCCACCTCTTTCAGTCTTTACACCTTTCCTTCTTTCCACCTCTCAGTCTTTCCACCTCTCTCTCTCTCTTTTCCACCTTTCCTTCTTTCCACCACTTTTCCACCTCTCTCTCTCTATTTCCACCTTTCCTTCTTTTCACCTCTCAGTCTTTCCCCTCTCTCTCTCTCTCTCTTTCCACCTTTCCCTCTTTCCACCTCTCAGTCTTTTACTCTCTCTCTCTCTTTCCACCTTTCCTTCTTTCCACGTCTCAGGATTTCCACCACTCTCTCTCTGTCTCTTTCCACCTCTCTTTCCACCTCTCTCTTTCCCTCTCTCTTCTTTCCTTCTTTCCACCTCTCAGTCTTTCCACCTCTCTCTCTCTTTCTTCTTTCCACCTTTCCCTTCTCTCTCTCCACCTTCTTTCACCTCTCAGTCTTTCCACTTCTCTCTCTCTCTTTCCACCTTTCCTTCTTTCCCCTCTCAGTCTCCTCTCTCTCTCTCTCTCTCCACCTCTCAGTCTTTCCACTTCTCTCTCTCTTTCCACCTTTCCTTTCTTTCCACCTCTCAGTCTTTCCACCTCTCTCTCTTTTCCACTTTTAACTTTTTCCACCTCTCAGACTTTCCACCTCTCTCTCTCTTTTTTCCACCTTTCCTTCTTTTCCCCCTCTCAGTCTTTCCACCTCTCTCTCTCTCTTCCACCTGTCCTTCTTTCTACCTCTCTCTCTCTTCTTTCCATCTTTCCTTCTTTCCACCTCTCTCTCTATATCACCTTTCCTTCTTTCCACCTCTCAGTCTTTCCACCTCTATCTCTCTTTTTCCACCTGTCCTTCCCACCTCTCTCAGTCTTTCCACCTTTCTTCTTTCTCTCTCTCTCTTTCCACATTTCCTTCTTTCCACCTCTCAGTCTTTCCACCTCTTTCAGTCTTTACACTTTTCCTTTCCACCTCTCTCTTTCTCTCTCTCTCTCTCTTTCCACCTTTCCTTCTTTTCCACCACTCAGTCTTTCCACCTCTCTCTCTCTCTCTCTTTCCACTCTCTCTCTCTTTTCCACCTTTTCCATCCACCTCTCAGTCTTTACACCTCTCTCTCTCTCTCTTTTTTCCACCTTTCCTTCTTTCCACCTCTCAGGCTTTCCACCTCTCTCTCTCTCTCTTTTCCACCTTTCCTTCTTTCCACCTCTCAGTCTTTCCCTTTTTCTCCTTTCCTTCTTTCCACCTTCAGACTTTCCACCTTTCTCTCTCTCTTTCCACCTTTTCCTTCTTTCCCACCTCTCAGTCTTTCCACCTCTCTCTCTCTCTTTCCACTTTAACTTCCTTCCTCCTTCAGACTTTCCACCTCTCTCTCTCTCTTTTCCACCTTTCCTTCTTTCCCCTCTCTCTCTTTCCACCTCTTCTCTCTCTTTCCACCTCTCCTTCTTTCCCTCTCTCTCTCTCTCTCTATTTTCCATCTTTCCTTCTTTTCACCTCTCTCTCTATATCTTTCCACCTTTCCTTCTTTTCCACATCTCAGTCTTTCCCACCTCTCTCTTTCCACCTGTCCTTCTTTCCACCTCTCAGTTTCCACCTTTCCTTCTTTCTCTCTCTCTCTCTTTCCACCTTTCCTTCTTTCCTCCTCTCAGTCTTTCCACCTCTTTTCAGTCTTTTTCCCTTTCCTTCTTTCCACCTCTCAGTCTTTCCACCTCTCTCTCTCTCTCTCTTTTTCCACCTTTCCTTCTTTCCACCTCTCAGTCATTCCACCTCTCTCTCTCTTTTCCACCTTTCCTTCTTTTCACCTCTCAGTCTTTCCACCTCTCTCTCTCTTTCCTTCTTTCCACCTCTCAGTCTTTCCACCTTCTCTCTCTCTCTCTTTCCACCTTTCCTTCTTTCCACCTCTCAGTCTTTCCCTTCTCTCTCTCTTTCCTTTCTTCTTTTCCACCTCTCAGTCTTTCCCTCTCTCTCTCTTTCCTTCTTTCCACCTCTCAGTCTTTCCATTTCTCTCTCTCTCTCTTTCCACCTTAA